GAGTGTGTGCCTCTGTGGTTATGTGCGGTGGTGGCCCAGAGAGGCAGGACATGGTGGCTTTGGGTGTTTGGTGGATCTCCAGGCCTTCAAATGCAGTGCGGGGTGGGAACTGACCATTCGGCCCTTTGGGCCTGCGTTGTTGTGTCCACTGAGTGGGCTACACAGATTTTATCAAAGAAAGCATTAATCTTTTTTTTGCAACAATCTAATATGTGTTGTTTCTTCATGTTTAGTTTTTATCAATAAAGTGAAAAAATGGAGGTTGGCAGTAAAATGTCCCTATCAATAACACCAACTAACTCCCTGCAATTTCCCCCCAAATTTGTAATTTCTCTCTTCAATTTTTGGCAAATATTTCCATAATTCTATATTGATCCTGGGCATAGATAATAGATGAATAGAGAGGCTGTTCAGCAGCAAATCCTTTTTGGCTCACTAGATATAAATTTAGGATTCTCAACAATACACAGTTCAATAAGGCACAGTGCATCACCTGAATAAACATTGAAACATATCCAAATAAAGCCAAACAGAATATATCTCTCGCCAAATTCAAACTGACTATAGTCAAACATTATTATAACAAATTATAATAGTACAAACTTTCTGTTTGTACATTCCATCCGCCCTTACGCCTGCTCGGGCACAAAGAATGTACAACAATGAAACAGGCCACTCGGGCCAACCAGTCCGTGCCAGTGTTTATACTCCACAAAAGTCTTTACCCATTCATTTACCCTCCCATACCCTTCCATTCCCCTCTCCATAATGTGAAGATCGAGCTTCCTCTTGAATGCCTCTTCAATTTGTACATGCTCCCTCTTGGTGACATCATCCGCAGACATAGGGTCAACTTCCACATGTATATGGATGACACGAAACTCCATCTACCTGCCTCCATACCTCAGGCACTGGCAGCATCATCATCCAAGGATATACACTCCACCTTACTAGGCCGTGCTTTCGATCACCCGACATTACCCCATGCCCTCCACCCTCCCCAATCTCAACTCCCAGCTCAGGTCCGAAACACTGACTGTCCAGCGCCTTGGGACTTCCTCCCAACGTGAAAGGTGCTATACAAATGTAATTTAGTTGTTGTTGTAAGCCAGTCTGGAACCTGGCATCTTGTATGACCCTCAACTCTCCTTTCTACCCCACATCTGGGTCATGACCCGCTCTGCCACCCCCCACTTCCGCAATATCGCCCATCTCTGCTACTGCCACACCACACGCCTAATAATAATCCCTCCAAAACCAAAAACAATAATAAATTGGTCATTTTCAATCTACGACTGTTTGTGGGACACTGCTGTGCGCAATTGGCTGCCGCGTTTGCCCACAAATATACAGTCAATTCACTTTACAGTGTGTTCTGTGAAGCGCTTTGGGACGTCCTCCCGACGTGAAAAGCGCTATATCAAATGCAAGGATTATTATTATTATTATTATCACCCGGCTCTGCCACTGCCTCATCCCGCAAGCCACCGGAACCCTCATTCATGCATTCATCACATCTAGGCTGGACTACGCCAACTCTCTGCTTGTCAGCCTTCCCAACTCTTCACTCCACAAACTGCAGATCATCCAGAACTTTGCAGGTTGTGTCCTCTCCCGCACTAGGTTCCGTGACCCCATCAACCCCACCCTCGCTCAGCTCCAATGGCTCCCCATCCCCCCAGAGGATAGAGTTCAAAATCCTCATCCTCGCCTTCAAGGCCCACCACAACCTTGCCAAACCCCGCCCCTCCCCACCCACCCCCAATTCGCACCAAATCCCTGACTGTCTAGTGCCAAGGACATCCTCCCAATGTGAAAGGCACTAGACAAATGTAATTTTGCATTGTAATCCAACTATACTATCTGAATATGCTTAAACCTCAGCTTGTCAGACAAATGTGGAGTCCTGAGACTCAGTGGTTAGAGAATTCGCCTCTCAAGCAAGAGAACATGGGTTCGATTCCCAGGCAGGGCAAAATGTTGGGCAAGTTTTCTACTCTGTTTACCTAGCAGTAAGTAAGAACCCGGTTGTTAGTCGATTGGCGGATCGCTTTTCCGAGGATAATAATCCCTTCAAAAAAATTATTAAAATAAATATATAATTTGGGCACTCAATCCATGACTGTTTGTGGGACACTGCTGTGCACAATTGGTTACTGCGTTTCACCCACAAAATATATGGTCAATTCACTTTACAGTATATTCTGTGAAGCGCTTTGAGATGTCTCGAAGATGTGATAAGGTGCTATATCAAATGCAAGTACTATTATTATTAATATAACTTAAAATGTTTATTGCTGGCCTGAAAAGATAGTATAAATTATCTGCCTTCACTTCAACTCGCTCCCTCATTCACCTCTTTCAAGTTCTATCTCAAGACCTACCTTTTAGACTGTGCATTGTGATCATCTTTCCCCTCCCCAACACTCTCGGCACCCACCCCAGCTTAGGTGCCAAGGCAGCACTGTTAAGCGCGTTGGGATGTCCTCCTGATGTGAAAGAGGCTGCATGAATGAGCTCGATTTGAAAAATAAATCACAGTGGGTTAACACATTTTGAAGATCCAATTTGCAAGAAAATCAATCCTCTCAATTATGTTCAGATTTCCTTGTGTCTTGATCCTACAAATTTGGCAACCCGCTCCTTAGAGTCTGACTTAAAGTCTTGTAATATTGTTTGAGTGAGAATAGTATAATAATAATAAAACAAATAATCATAATCACTGCATTTGGTATCATGCCTTTCCACAGGATATATTGTAAAGTGGTGTAACTGTGTTTTGTGGGCAAACACAGTAGCCAATTTGCACACAGCAATGTCTCATAAACAGCATTGGTGTGAGTGAACAATTTTATTTGGGTGATTGTTGGCCAGGAACTGGGAGAAACTCCCTTCTCTTTTCAAGCAGTGTCATGGAATCTTTAACATCCACCCAAACAAGCAGATGGGGCCTCGATTTAATGTCTCATCCGAAGCTAATTCCACGTCAAGAGGATGTCACAAAGGGCTTTGCAGGATATATTGTAAAGTGTAGTAACCGTATATGATATCGGGGGAATCCATCAGCTTGGCACCTCTCTGCTTGGCTGTATTGGCAGCACTCTTACCTCTGGTTCACTACCTGCAGAGGCAGGAGCCGGCGGTTGTTAAGGACGGGGTTGGTAAGAGACGTACTTGTCTTCCTGATAGACTACAGTAAGGTCGGTATTATTTCCACTTTCCGCACTGCATCCTCCCAACCGCCAGCTCCTGCCGTGGCCATAGGAGGACGTTCACCACGGAGGGAGGGAGCAGAAGTTTGAACATTGGAAATGGTCTTGGGCTGGATAAAATCACCTGCCGGACCGGATGCGGCCTGTTGGACCACACTGAGATAGACCAATGATGTTAACTTCATTAGTCTTCTAATGAGCTAACCAGGTCTTCAGTTCTGATGGTAGGGTTATATCATGAAAAAAAGTTCAAATCTCCAAGCTTCATATTATTTGGCGAAGTGAATAATTGATAAAATGTAGTCTTCTTTAAAATCTCAAATGAATGAGGTGTTTAAAAAGTTACGGTAATTGTGAAGTAAGGGTACGGATCGACGAAGGAGAGAAAGAACAAGCATAATACCAGAGTTTGAGTGAGCTAGATGTGATACTCATCCCATTTGCAGAAACTCCTATCCCCATGGATCCCTTTTATAAATCAACAGGTAGCAGAGTTAAGGATGGCAATAGCCAAATAATGTGTTAAGATGTGCTTATTTCCTCCACTTTCATTTAAATCATTTATTGTAACCTGTAGCTGGAATACAATGATGCATATGGGAAACATAGGAGCTATGTCTTCTCAGCTTAATTGGTGTTCTATTTGCAATCAGGCAGTACTTTTTAATGACCTGGCTATAATATAATAATTGTGGGGTGCAGCATATTGTAGAAAAACTGTAAATTGCTTTTTTTGCCCAAAGTATAAATCTAAATAGCTCTCATTAAGCAGTGTGGGAGTTATTTATTGCATGTACACGCCAAACAAAAGGAAGTTGGCACTTAAGCAAACGTCATTGCATAACAGATCACTTTATGCAATTCTTAACAAGAGAGACTCAGTACAGCTCTCAGTCAATGTAATTTTATTCTTTCCAGTCAGTTGGAGACTTGTAAAAAAAGATTGTAAGATTTTTACATGAGGCTGGCAAGTTTTTGCTGAATATGCGGCAAACTCAGAGTTTAGAAACATTTGTGAATAATTTGCACTAGCACTGGGCATCCAGAAGAAAGAGATCTTCTGGTTTTGGCCTCTGAACAGAAGCACACATAATGAGAGAAAGCAATACCAAGATTGTAAGCGTTAAAAAAAAGTGCTGTGCTATGAAAAATGGCACATTGCAACTAGTGTAATTAGCACACAATCTATAATAGAATTAGACCTGTACTAGGATCACAAGGGAAACAGCTGCAGGTCCAATGCAGCAATATTATTTTACCAAATTACAACGCTGTTTTGAAACCACTAACTGATGTGCACAAGTATTCGAGCTGCTACAAACAATGTATTGAACTTAACTACATCCTCACACAAATGCTGTTTTTATTTTTTCTTCCATAAAATTTAGAAAAACGAAACGTATGTACATGAACTCGCGGAGAAAAGTTTTAAGTTGACTAACTTTTCTGCCTGTTGCTCTGGCTCATGTCAACCCACTGCTTCTATTAACTTTTTACTGTGTTGTTAATAACAAGTCTGGCCTTTGCATATGTTATGATATCACTGCATATGTACATAGAAGAGTGATTAATGAATCCTGGATAGAAAGGGGCAAGACCAACTCCTGCTACTGTACTGTTCTTGGCTAGTAGTGTTTGAAAATTGAGTAGGTATCAAATAAAACACAGACAGAAGGGAACTAGAATTTTTTAAAACAAACATTTTTTCAGTGTTTTAATTGTATCCAGTAACCTGTTGCACTACACTAAAACATTTACATTTGTTAATCCAGTCTGGGACCCTCTTACCTGTGGGAGTACTGCTTCGAAATGATGAAGATGGAGTAACAGGTGGAGTGACAGGGGGTGTAAGGCTGCCACTGTTGTGACGCTGCGGTGTGGAGAGACTGCCCCGTGAAAGCGTGCTCGATAATGATAAAGATAGTTTTGGCTGAATCTTTTTCTTCAGGGATTCCTGTTCCCTTCGAGCAGCATCTGTCATAAACCTACAAACAGGAAAAAAAAGAAAGTGTGGTAACTAGTGACTTTCTACAAGAGAATAAAAAATGACTGTATTTTGTGGGAGTTTCACTCACAAAATATATATTCCGTGAAGTGCTTTGAGACGCCTTGACGATGTGATAAGGCGCTGTATCAAATGCAAGGATTATTATTATTATTATAAAACAGCTTTGATTCCCAAAAAATCAGAGCTTACGAGGTGCTTTTTAAGAGCCACTGTAAAAGCATTTGTAAGGGTCAGGGCTTATAGAAAGGGTATTAGAAACACTCACATTTCTTGACAGACCGTGCCCATTACCCAATGCTAAAAAAGATACTGTCAATGAATTCAGCTACCTCCACTCATAAACTTCCATACCAAAAAATGTGGTTGAAACATAATTCATTGTAGCCTTTACAAAGAATCTACAATACTAAAACAGGTCTTTCTGCCAACAAGTGTATTATACAAATAAGAGTCAGCCCTGATCCTGCCCGCAAGTGAAGTGATGCCCTACCAGGGAGGGGTGAAGCTATGAGACGAAAATGAGGAAGTAAGGATACATGATACAGAAGTGCCCGAATTAGGGAAAACAAATCCTAAAAATTCAAACTGGTTACCATGCTGCTGTATCATTCTTTGGTAAGTCCTTTCTTATGAGTCTGGGGAGAAAGATGGCCAAGAGTACAGTCAAAACATCTTAAAGTGGGATTGGTAGGGAAAGGAGGGAGGCACAGGGCTCAATGAGTTCCAGAGACCAGGGCAGAGTGGCTGAAACCTTGCCCACCGATAGTCGGCAAATAAGGTAGGGGAGATGAAGCAGGCTGGTGTTTGCTGAGCAGAGAGAGTGCAGTTAATAATAATAATAAACCTTGCATTTGATATTGCGCTTTCACATCTTCTAGACTTCTCAAAGCACTTCACAGAATAGACTGTAAAGTGAATTAACTGTGTATTTATGGGCGAAATGCGGCACCCAATTGTGCACAACAGTGTCCCACAAACAGACGTGGATTGAAATGACCAATTTTTTTTTGAGGGATTATTATCAGGCGTGTGGAGTAAGGAAACTTGCCAAAGGTTTCACTCTGCCGGGAATCAAACCCAGGTCTCTCGCCTGCAAAGCGAGTGCTCTAACCACTGAGCTACAGGACTCCAGTTGGGGTGAGGTTGTGGCCATGTTTAAAAGTGAGGATGAGATTGCGTAATTTGATCTGCTGGGAGATGGGGAGCGAGTGGAGCTGGGCAAGGCTGGGGGTGATGGACTCTTGGGAGCCTGGTGTGGGAGAGGATATAAGTTACAGATTTCTGGGGGGTCTGCAGCTTATTTATAGGGAGAAGCTGGATAGGTTGGTGATCAGGGAAATAATCGAGCCTGGATGAGATGAAGGCCTGGATGAGGGCCATGGCAGCCTGGGGGCAAGAAGCAGTGGCAGGCAGTATTGCAGAAGCAAAGGAAGGAAAGTCGAGTGAGTGAGAGCCTGGATGTAGGATTTGAGCTTGTTTCACTGATTTCAAAGTTCCTTTTCTTAACAAGTAATCAATCTTTAAAATGCTTTTGTTTAAAGAAAACTATACATTTCAAGAACAAAGACTGTAGAATTGACTAAAACATGTCAAATCCAGTAAAACTGTTCAGAATTTGCTTTTGGTATAGCACAGGAAGTATAATGTAGAATCCGAAATATTACAAAATTATCCTAGTGCTAGAAACAAAAAGAGTCTACAAACAAAACTAAAACTGCAGTACATCAATTGCTGATGGGACAAAACTGTAGATTTGGTTAAAGCATAGGGTGTAACGTGCTAGTCTGGTAGAAATGAATCAGAAACCCCGCTAGGATGGAAATGGTTTAGCATCTGACTGCATAAGAATGTAAAAGCCTCTAAGGCAACATCCAGCAGGAGTTTCCTTCCTCTGTGTTTGATCCATTTCATAAGCACTGTTATTTGACAATAATAGAGTTTTCATTAAGTAGGAAAAACGCTGTTAGTAAAGGATGGCCACGATTGAAGTATCATTACAGACACAAAAATAAGCTGACACAAACTTTAATAAAGAGCAGTTCGACTCACACAAGCCGAGACGACTCCAAAGATGAGCCATTTTATATTAACGATTCAGACAAAATGGAATCCATTAAATTTTAAACAGATCCCCTCCACCCTGACGATGAGGATTTAAAAAGCACATAAAAACGTAAGGGACTGAATGTATTTTTTACTAATTACCAGATTTCCAGGACACAAAGTGTGGTAGTGGCATCTGCTGGCAGTTTATATGCAATGCTCACAGACCCATTTTTAATCAAAAAGGAGTCTCTTGGGCAACTATCTTCTAATGTAAAAAGGCAGAAGCCTGCCAAATAAAAGTTTGATAATTTTTGTCCTTGTGAAAGGAAAATTCTGCAACGAATACCTATTTTATTCAACAATAAGAACCCTGACTTAAATCTAAGGCTTTCTCACCCTGTAAACTGTGGACTCTTGCTGATACATAAGCTTGCTGTAAACTATTAAAATAATGAATCCAGACCGGGCAGCCCACAAAGAATGGCCGCCCACATTTCAGCCTGTTTACCAGAAGGAAGGCTTATGGAAACATTCCCTACCCCCAAGCACATGCATAAAGTAGACCCATGAATTCATGACATGAAAACCTGGTGTAAGGGAGCCTCCTGGAGGCGAATATTAAGAGTTGCACACACACACACACTGAACAGCTGGATTGGCCCAAAGCAAATGCCAACATTTCTACACTAATACAAAGATTGGTCTTTTTGTTTAAACATTTAGATATTTATATGTAGTAACTTACAAATAAGGTTAGCAAACAGACAGTGGAATTTTGATCACCTTATCAGGTTGACTTAACTTGTGAGTTTGTACTTGTGTACTGAATAACATAATGCTGAAATGAAAAATACTGCAAAAAAACTGACTACATTAGGGTCAACCTAAGGTGAGTTTCCAATGTATGTGTATTTTCCCAGTTTTCCAAGAAAAGGCAATAACAATTGGAAAGTTTTTTTTAATATTACTTGTTCCTGTCTGAAAAAAACAACCTTTCTGAACTAACATTTTGTGATACAAAGAAGTGATTTAGTGAAAACAAGAGAAAATACAGCAAATGCGCATCTGCATTGATTCTTAACATTTGATTCCTTAGTTTGAAGTAATCCAAGTTTCACTAATTGAATATAACAGCTCATAGGAGTGTGTTTCACCCACAAAATATGCAGTCAATTCACTTTACAGTATATTCTGTGAAACGCTTTGAGACGCCTCGAAGATGTGATAAGGCGCTATATCAAATGCATGGATTATTATTGTCAAGAGCTCATGATAGGAAACATGAGGAATTTCTGGTTACTCAACATAGTAGGAGTTAAAACAATAAGTTACTACAACACTAGTAATAGTTATTTTAAAAACCGTGTGCCGCCTAACTTAATCCGGTTCAGGATTGAAATATGTCTCATCCACACACTGGATAGTGCAGTAAAAGTAGGAAGTGGAAGGATAAAGTCCCCTTTATCATAATGCTTATTATAAGGAAGCACTTACCTCCTCTTGCAACAAGTATTCTTCATAAGCTCTCCCCTTCAAAACAAGCAGCAAAAGTAGGAACTCAAACCTTTTCAATTTATTTCCTCCTCCATCTGTTTTTCCTGGACTTTCTGGGTCACACAACATTGTGGTCAAGGGAGCAGGTGGTTAATGTGGTTCTTATGCTCCATCAATGCTCCTCTGATTCAGTCAGTCAGTCAGTCATCGGAAATGCATGTCATTGACCATTATCCCTCTAATAATGCATACATGCATATATCTACCTACATATTGGAATATTTTCCCACCTTCCACTTTAAATATATAAATTTATAAATCCATTTTACAATGTATTCTGTGAAGTGCTTTGAGATGTCTCAACGACGTGCTAAGGTCCTATATCAAACGCAAGGATTATTATTATTATTCTCACACACTCATTCGGTAAGGGAACAGACAGCTGGCATGCACCATATATTATAGTTTGGCTTGCAGGTTTAGGACATATCTTTAAGTCCAAGTTTGTGCTGAAATCACTGTGGGGTGTCTAGTTTTGCTAGATACGTCTTCTTGAAGCCAATTCAGACCAAAGGAGAACTTTTTTTAATAAAAGAGATGATATACCACATTTGCCCACAAAATACACAGTCAATCCACTTTACAGTATATGCTGTTAAGCACTTTGAGAGGTCTCGAAAACATGATAAGGCGCTATACTTCTCAACAACATAATAAGGTGCTATAATATCAAATGCAAGGATTATTATTATATTCATATTAACCACAAAAGGAAAAATGCCTTGGATTCAAATTTTCACAGGGATTCAAACTCAAAATCTTTTGGTCCATTGTCAGGTGCTCAAATGACTGAACTAGCCAGGTACAACTTCATGGTACCAACACATTATACCCACACACTGTAGATTAATTATTATTTATAATAGGTTCCAGAAGGACTTGAAGTCTGGAGTGAGAATGAAATCCCATTAGGATAAACATTTTAGTTGTGGGAAATGCGCAATAAGCTGAAAAGTAGCCCCAGTCCCATGGCTAAATTGTTATGATCTCATTTATGTGGAAACAGGATTTATAAAGCTTTTTGCCAAGATAATGGCAATTTCTGATAGGTTGGGAGTGACATAATGATTTATTAATGTTATAACAACAGCAAACTTGTAATTGTGGAATTTATAACTGAAAAATAAGCAAGCCAATAATAAATCAATGATCTTGAAGGTTTTTTTTAAAATGAACAATCATTAAATGGAATAAAACTTCTGTGAATCAGGACTCCAGCCCCACTAAGTGTCTTGTTCAAAATGAAAACAACTGTTAGAAAGAGGGTGATGTTTGGAAAAACAGTCCGAATCATTTTAGAGGCACATCTGTAGAAATGCTGTGTTTTACTTTTTCCTGAAAGTAAAATTAAACAACGTACTTAATCTCAACTGTGTG